ATATATGGAATACTCACATATATAGAATACTCACAACTAAAGCAATTCGATTTACAAAGTCAAAAAATTGCTAAACTTCCATGAATTTTCTAAAAATCTTACTATCAGGCTAGTATAATATAATTAACAATAGAAGTGGATTGTGGATAGCATTGGAATACACGAGGCATATTTCATCCTATTTGAGACTCGTTAGCTAGATGTACCTGCATTTCAAAGTTGTTTACTCCGGAGATCGAACCCAGTAGCATACACCTCAAATTCAGTCGCGTTAACCACTTAGCTAGTTAATGATTCCAGACAGCGACTCACTTTTCCATTGGAGCAATCTGTATATACCAAAAAGACTGATCAATTGCAGTCGTTAAAACCAATGGGAAGATCCAAAGAAGCAATAAAAATGAATTATGCTTCACCCCATTGCACAAACGATTGGCTATCCCGACTAAGTAGATAAGTGGATTATACGATAAAGTTTGAAGCGTAAGGTAATAAGTTCGAGTTCCAGAATGAACATAAACACTAGATTGTGTAGATATTTTGGTTACAAATCACTGTGGTTTTTGAGACTTCAAATGCCACAGTCAGAGACTAGACATACTGACTGAAATGTATTCATTTGTTATTCTTGTCTAAACAATATAGGACTTGTTATAATTTTACAAATACCCAAGTTTATGTGCCTAAAATAACCATAATTTGAAATTTTGATTAATTTAAAAAATAAACCCTACTTCATGAAAAGAAGACTAGGATATATATTTCAAAGTGAACGAGCGAAATAGGGAAGAAGTACCGAATACAGTTTTTTAACTAGCCAAAAAATATTGTCAATTGTCTATAACGTATTTCAATCAGCAGAAACGGGAATCATGTTATTTCTCTTGACATACTAATCTTGCATATATGAACTTCTGAGATTCTAAAAGAATTGTTAAGTGTTCTCAAAAAAAAACAGAACGAAAATATATTTTGATTATAGAGTTGTGGAGATTGTGGAGTTTTACTGGAATCATGAGTTGATCAATGTTGGACTGCCATTAGAAACCTGAAAGCACCAGGCAGACGTTTTGTCCTAATATGGAATTCATCAGCAGTGTGTATCCATGACCCACAAGCGTGAGGTGACCACTGTGTTGAGCATCCAACAGTATTAATGTCTCACATTAGTTAATCGACGATATTGCACAATCTTATCCATTGTGTTCTGTGAGTAAATGTCTCTCAGCCTACATGATAGAACTCCACCGAGTTCGGTTCTCGCTAGAACTCTGAGAATTTTCTCACAAAGCTTGTCACTTGTCAGTACATGAACTCTTCAGAATATTATAACTGTATTCGTTCTACTTTCGAATATCCTTCTTTAACTGTTCATATTACAAGAAATATTTACATCTCATCAGTAAGTAACGATAAAGTCAAAATCCTCAGTAAAAGTAAACTACTTCTTACGGAAAACTAACCTATTTAAGGAACGTTAAATCCCATTCATTCATAAATTATCCAACTTTAAATGAACTGTAATTATATCTGTGAGTTTATGATACATGTTAGAAAATAAAATGCATTTAGAGACAAATTTGTACACAGATTGTCTTATAATTAGGGTGGAAACTGGAGACCAGAAAGATGAGTTTGTAAATGGAATCTTTGAAATTCAGTTACACTTTACATTTCACTGTATCATAAAATGATACTTAACGATTTAGCAAATGCTGAGTGAATATTGTCGTTAAATGAACATTTAGTTTCTTTATCTATTGTGTAGATAAAAGGATGTTATCTCAATGAACCTAGAAATCATCGCCATTACTACTTATTATAGTTGATGGAAAGTTTAATTTGATAAATCGCAACATAGTTTTCAGAATATTTATCCTAGTATATACACTTTCAGTTGATTTTGTAAGTTAAATAATCTTTAGAACTTGTACACACAGTTGAATAGTGACGAGCAGTGGAATGTGAAAAGTAAGTTTTATCCTATTTGAAGCTAATCAGCTTGATATACCTGCATGCCGTTATGGATTTTCACTTCTTCAATACTTTTCTCTTCAAATGACCAACAAGTTTTCTACTTAACTACTGAGTTTAGATAGCCACTGGCTTGTAAAACAATGACAAAGTTTATTTCATTTTATTTGTTTAAATCTCTCCGTTGTTCGTTTTAAGGACTAAGTGGTTCTTGACAGTATTGAGGTAATCCTCTTTGGATGTACTCATCGATTGCAGTCATTTACATTGATAACAAAAAGATTCAAACATATTCATGGTTATTTCAAAAACATTGTTAGAACAAACGATAAACACTTTATCACAATGGCAGTCCTTTTCATACTATTGTTATAATTCCGAGTTGATTCCCGAACAGCTTTTAGCGAAGCTCAAACATAATAAATATATGATAACACTCCAAGGCATTAGACAAAGAACCGAATTTGTCACAAATTAACTGAATGTCGAAAAACATACAAATAGATTCAAACTCAGCGATGAAAATCCATCATACCAAATCATAAGTGCTTTTAATCATCTGTTCATTACAAAATAAAACATCTGAAGCTGTAATTGTATAGGCAATTATTCACAATGCATTTACTTCTCTGTATCAGATCACAATAGCGAAGCACCTTCATACACATCACCTTCTCATGGATCTTCAGCTAATGTATAGTAAATTACTTTCACTACAATCAGACTGCTGGGCGGCCTATGCTTTACTGGGGGTATGAGGCGTAATAACGTAAGTAAGTACAAGAATCGGTGTCTAAATTTTCACACTCAGATTCGGAATTAGTGAATATCAAATTCAAGTAACACTGATTTGATTAGAAATTAAGTTTGAAAGTTTTCAGAGGCTGTTCAGTTTTTTGATTTTGTTAAGCAGAAGTCCTAGTAATAAACTTTTGAGTAATACACGATCATAATCTCAATATGAAAAGAAAACTTCATTCTGATCGACGTTTTTTACCAATAAACTTTATAATAGCCAATAACTGACTCATACCAGTGAAGCACTTACAACCTTTCCGAACATTTCCATTAACAAGTATATTCTAAACAATCATTTTCATTACAAAAAATTGACTAAAGAAATAAAAATGTATGTGCATTTGTGAATCAAACAGACTAATAAAGTTTACTGAGTAAAATATCGAATTCGATTCATCCGAAACATTTTCCATAAATTTACACCTATTTTAAATCACAGTATAATAAAAATCAATTTATTTACTTCGATGTAAGAAAAAACGTTTGATAATTGTGAAAAGTTGTGATGGAGTTTCTTTTTCTGAGCTGGAAGTTTTGGTTCTGTAGCTCAGAAAACGAAACTCTATGACAATCATCCACCTGAGCTATAAATTTTCTCCACCATCTCAAGTGTCAAACGTTTCTCTAAACAGTGTACTTTTTGATTTTTCAGTTTGAGTTATGAAGATTAATGTTTTTACATATTGAAATCGTCAATCAATCATTGCTGAAACACCATTAGAAACCTGGACGGTCGTCTCATCCTGGTATGAGACTCATCAGCAGTGCGCATTAGACACTAATAACTTTGAATGCTGGCCCAGCAGTCCAGAGGACAGGCGTTCGCGTGCAAGATCAAAGGTCATGCGTTCGAATCCTGTGAGATGCATTAGTCGTGCATGCGCTAGGACGAAACTGTCATCCAGTGCTTCCAGGTTTCTAATGGTGGTTTAACAATGATTGATTGATAATTTCCATGTGTAATTTTGAATGTTTTGGTTATTGATTATCTCATATACAGTTTATTTTATGTCAGCTTAATAAATTTATTTATTAACATACATTAAATTATGCCTAAGTTTTAAAATGAATTTCAAATTTCAACTAGTTTATTTTATTTCTGATGTTTAATTTCAATTTTTACCCATTGCGGGCGTTGTTTTGTATTGAAATATGGTGATACCCATACTAATTACATACGATTACTAAATTTTCATGTGGCTTAGATCATTTCATATTTGTACGACAAATAGTAGTATATTACAAAACTATAGAATATCGTAAGATAATAATTAAAATACTTTGAATAATAACACTCAATCTAGGTAGATATTAGTAAGGAATCTTGTTCACTGTTCTGGTAGGTTATGTAGCACTTAAGCAATTTTTTTGCTGTCAAGAAGAGAGGCTGATGACTTATCATTCTGTAAGGGCTCCATTGAGATCATATTTATCTGTATTTGTTAATAAACATTATTTTTAAACAAGTAACTCCAATGTTTTAGCTGCTGGCTGGCTCGATTTAGTCTGTAATGTAAATCTTTAAATAAATGATCTTCAAAATCCCACTTTGGACATATAAAATATGTGCTCACTTTTAGGTGAATTCAAGAGAAATCCTAGGAATTTTCGGTAAGTATAGTACGATCACGAGATTCGAATTGTCAGTAACAATGAATACTTCTAGCATAATAATACGAACTAAACTAGTCGATGGCAACCTAATTGACCCTTGAAGACTCCGAATTCAGTATTTGGAGAGTTCACGATGGAGGTGATTCACGAATTACATGTCCAGCACATCTTGATTTTCAAGGATTGTCTACGTAACTTCAGTCTATAACTTAAGTTACAAACGTAACTGGTATTATTATTATGAAAATGTAATCAGTACGTGAATTATGTAGATTATTAAGAGCAGTATATAACTGAAAATTCCTCCTGAATAATCAGAATGAAGTAAAGGTACCTTACCTATAACTCTAACCAAATCACAGTATTTCTGGCACTCTCATTGCTTTTACTCTAGGTTAATCTGTTGAATGCTTTACAATTTAGCCTTTTGGCTGTAACGCATGAAATATTCATAATCACATATCGCTGGTTAATTTACATATCATTACTCATTTATGCATGTTAAAAGTAAGACCAAAACAGAATACACACTCTTCTTGCTATGTAACCTTTATCTACATCATCAAATCATGCAATGTTTCATTCTACGCAAACACAACATTTAAATTACTTACTTGAGTAAATGCATATCCTGTTGGTTCTTTATATGATACAATAGTTTTTGTTTTATTTACATAGGTTGGATCAGGATAAACAAACCGTGGTGAATTATCATTTTCATCTAATACATGAATACGTATTGATACATGTTCAGTTAATTTTGGGAAGCCTTTATCATGTGCACTAATTAATAATAATATAATCGGTGTTATAATGGAATAATTTGTTTTACTTGAATGATCAATTATTCTATGATTATTATCATAAATATTATTAGTGTGTTCAAATAAATCATAATGTGGAAATGTGTCCGTAACAAAATCATTATATTTCATAATTAATCCTTCACGATCAGTGACAGATTCAATGTACAATTTTACATTGTAAATTGTTGGTTCAATGTTAGAAGAAAAGGTATTATTTTTACTAGGTAATTTTTGAGAATACAATTTAAACTGTGGAATGTATTTAGCATAATTAGTTTTTTGTAAATCTGACGGAATGAGTACATCTTTTGAATGTAATTTCAATTGTTCAATGTTATTATGTATTCGTAAAGTATTACCTAAAGATGCAAGATAAACATGTGTTTGTTCAGTGTTCTCTTCAATCTGAATAGCTAATTCTGCATTTTTATCAATATCATTGTCAGTGATCTGAAAACTACCTACTAGCTGACCAACTTGATTATTTTCAGTTATAGTAAATTCAAAATATGGTTGAGAATATGTCGGTGGATTGTCGTTATAATCTAAAACTTTCACGTTTACCTTCACTTTAGTCATTCGTTCTGGTTCACCATGGTCTGAGCAAATTATTGTCACATTGAATGTTGTCAATTTTTCTCGATCTAAATTTCCCATCGTACTAAGTGTTCCAGTAGTTGTATTGACTGTGATTAGATTCACTAAATATGATGGGGTTTCTTGATCTAAACTAAAACGCAGTTTGGCATTTCGACCCTCATCTTTATCAGTAGCATGGATAGTGAGAAATTCAAAGTTTCTTTGAACTCTTTCCGGACTTGAATCTTCCATGACTTCAACTGTGTACAGATTGTGATCACAGACTGGATCATGATCATTTACGTCAATTACTTTGATTTTATATGTTAGGTTACTTGATAATGAAGGGATTCCATTGTCCCAGCAAATTATATTAAACTCAATGATTGGAAATTCTTCTCTATCAATAGGTTTTTGCAGTGTTAGTTTATATTTTTGATTAGAGTTTGATATTTCTTTGCCTATGATTTCACTGTCAACTGAAATTAAGCGTAAAACATTGGGAATAGTTTGATTAGTTAATTTACAGTTCACTTTTGCATTTTCTCCTGTATCTCCATCGAAAACATCTACAATCCCGATATCTTGTCCCGACGGTGTTTCTTCAATCAATTCTAAGTTCTTCGAACCAGTGGTTGATATAATTCGAATACGAGGGAAATGATCATTGACATCAATTACATTTACAATAACCTGAGTAGTTGATAATTTTGAAGTAGAAAATGATTTCATTTGTTGTCTTAATGTTGAATTATCTGGATTTTTAGCAAAAACTTTAAAAGAATGTTTAGGTTTTAAACGATAATTTAATCGTCTTTGTAGTTTTATTTCACCGGTTTCTGAATGAATATAGAAATAGTTACCATCATCGCTATCGTCCGAATAAGATGCAAAACTGTAAATTATCCGTCCATTTTCATCAGAATCTGTATCGTAGGCCTGAAGGTGTATTATTAAATGACCGATAGGTGTATCTTCACTAACATTTACAGTATATATTGATTGTTCAAATTTTGGCATGTGATCATTACAATCTTCCACTAGTATTGTGACATTCAGGTGACATTGATGATCATCAGATGAAAAGCCATCATCTGCTACAATTTGAAATGTATACGTTTTCTGTGTTTCATAATCCAGTGTGTTAATGAGTTCTAACTCTAAGTGAACATTGGGTGTGGTAAGATTTTTCGATGATGAAAGACTGTGTAATCGAAATAAATTTCTTATATTTTGACTATCTGATACACTGGAATCAGTGATGATCCATACTCGATCGGGTTTCACAGAATTCCCACCGATAGCATCATCTGGATCATAAGGAGTATTCAAAGTGAATCGTGTCTCATGGACTGGTGAATCTTCACGTATTCGAATAATTTGTCGGTTTGATGGAATAAATTTACAACCATTATCATTGATATCTTTGAGTTCAATGATTACATCGAAAATAGCTACTAATTTATTACTTACAGGTGTTTTATTTCTATTTGAATTTGAAATATTTAAGAATTGTGTTGTATTTAAACAATTCACACTAAAGTGTAATTCACAAATTGTAGAATAAGGTAAATTAGGCATCCATTCTTTGATAATTTTACCATATTTTTCAAGTTTCCCATTTTGATTATCAATGTTACATAATATTTCTCTATCTAATCTATTCGCTACAGTTATATCAGCTGAAATAGGATCAACTGAAAATAATCCTGAAGCATCGTCGGAATTATTAATTTTTACAAAATACAAATTACTGATTCCACCTTGTACATATTTTAACAAACTGCCAATACGTGTATTCAACTGGATTTCTTCATCAATACGAAATCGAACAGTTCTTGATTGAATTAAATTAATCGAAATTAGTATAAAAATTAATAAATGACATTGGCGACGTGCAAAATTCCAGTTCCATTGTAGTAAATCAATTCTAAGCATACCATTTAAACTTGATCACATGAAAATGATATCATGTCTGAATGATGTATACATTTTAGTGTTGTTGTTTCAGCTGTCATGTCAAGACATTGTTGATTTACCGGTTAAATAAATCAATTCGCAAATAAAATTTGATAATTTTTGACAATTCGATTGTATCAGGGATTATTCTACTCATCACAGTTGGAAATATTTATCAAAAATTTCATTTTATGCAAATGTTATTATTTAAATAAAATAATATCAATGAGAAATTATTCTGATTGGTTCATTTTTAGGGAGAATGAATCAGATTTTTAATTGTGGGTGTGATTTGCAATGTTATTTTCAATATATATATATATATATATATATATTTACCCAATAGAATATTGAACATTGAAAAATAATGCTTAAAATTATAATGAAAAAAAAAGTGAATAGAATTATTTTTTTTCTAATTAAAATTTAAAACAACCGTCCAAAGAATTTTTGTTTATAAAGGCAATAATTTTTTTTTTCCAAAATTTACTATTGGCAGCAATTTTTTTCCTAACAGCACTTTAAATCTTTCCTTATGATTGAATGTCATACTTGTCAATTTGTAAAAATTACTTCAACTAGGTTTTATTGTCACATTGTAAAAGTGTGTATACATTGTTTCTTGTGTTGGAAATAAATAAATAATGACTAAATTTAATCCTCTCTGATTTAAGTGGGGTTTTTTTTGTGTATGGGAAAGTTCTCGAGACATTTATTTATGAAGTTTTCACATTACAAATGCATATTACTTTAAGAAAGTTATTTTTTGAAACATACTACTGTACTGTTTTTCATTGATTGTAAGAATAATTTTTAAAGAACACAATGATTTGGCATTACATTTTGCAAGTTAATTAGATTCTCTGTTCCATGTTCACATTCGGCAAAATCGATAGTACTCGAAATAAAACCTAGAAAATAATCATAAAATTTAAAAAGAAATTGAGAACTGGTTAAATCTAGAACTGTAACTTGACGTGATGGTCAAGAGTAGAATTTAGCAACAATTTAACAATATCCATTGTCGTTTTACGGTTAGTTTTGAGAATACTTCACTAATAAATACCGCTGAAACTTAAAAGCATGAGATCGATAAGTATTTGAATTAAACCATGGATGTAGATGGGAATGATCCCACAAAAATGATTACCCGTAAAGTTTAAAAAATGATTTATGCTAGAGAATTCAATCAATGCACGGTAGGAGCCAAAATTGATTGTAAACGTTGATCGATTCGATGATGCACAAACCTGATAGAATTACTAAAAAATTAAATGAAGACTGAATGCAGTTTTGATCAGCACATTTCACACAGTGAAACGTAACACAGTACAAACAACATAATGCTCAACAACTTAAACAGTCTTAAATAACTACTAGTTAAATAACATCTTCAAATCATTATTCCGTTGAAAAAATACTTCTAAAATCAAATATATTTGAACGATAGGAATGTGAACATCCACCGGTCATACAAAACACTCCTCTTAATAGTCCTTGTAGTTCAAAACACACAGAGTAGAAACAAATAAGACATTCAAAATAAATAGTCTAGCTCGAGATAGTTAAGATTTGTTTGGATTAAAGTGAAAACATGTTGAAGACGTTAGATCCCCAGAACTTACTTAGAAAACGTCCCAATTTTGGATTTTTTATGTTTTTGCACATAAGTTAGTTGATCTTGGGATTACCTCCTTAACTGTCATTGATTGGTGGATTGTTTTAGTACGCTATTTTTGTGGCTCTACCAAGGACGTTTTTATCATACATAAATAAACTCGATAAGTTTGCTTTTCGACCTGGGTGCTTGAAGAGTACACTTTCTACGCCATATCAAGACTTCTTGATATAGTTAGCTGAGCCGGGGACAAACGGATTCAGAGAGTCTATCGTGTCATTGCACCATTTGTCTTCGCTCTAGTTAACCAAGTAAGGTTTACTTATATTAGCATTCAAGCATATCAGTTGACGAGCATATCACTTTTGTTCAACAAATTGTAGATTTCGGTTTTTCGCATAGTTTTGAAATAAGCATTCACTGAAACATGTTAATGTAGTTATATTCTGTAACTATCAAAATTAATCCTAACTTTGTTACAAGAATAACTTATCAGATGATTTACTGACACAATAAGTGATGCATACCAGGAGCACGTGTACTTTACATGCAAATTAGAAAGGCAATGTCATATGTCTCACATGATCGCCTCTCTACCATGATCATAGTTACTGTCATGTATGTGTAGGGAGAAAGTAACAAAATGCAATAACTTGTTCTAATCTACATGTATTCATCATCATCCTATATTATATATATATATATATATATATATATATATATATATATATATATATATATATATATAATACAAATATCGTGCCCAATCGAAATGAAATGACATTTACAAATAATCCTTCAATAATAATTATTTACAAAGAAAAATATCCGATCTCTATTGAAATGACATACAATACAATATATCCAACTAATTTATGTTAAATTAACATAATCATTCTTTAAATTTCATCATGAATCGGGATACAACAATCCTGTTGAAACTTAAGAACACTTTGGAAAAAATAAATGACACTGGGATTATTTTACATGTTAAATAGAAATTTCACTGAACAACAACAATAGAATTTTATGAAGCGATTCTTTTTACAGACAAATCGCTTTCTGTCTACATACACAAAATAAGTATGCATTTGACAAATCTTCCAACTCAACTTTAACATCAATCAACAACAATAATCTCGACATTATGATTGAATAAAACTGAAATTTATCATGGATTATCTTTTGGCTATTTAGTTTTTTTTTAAAAGCAAACATATACGACCATACTAGTTGAACCAAATGTCATTGTACAGTATCACATCAGTTTAGAAACGATACAAAAAATTCTCTCTCTATGGAAAACATTTCATTTTCCTTATGATATCAAGTGTAATCTACTATTCGTGTTTTTATACTAGAAATGATTTAAATTTTTTGTTTATGAAATTTATGGCTGAATTCAGTTAAACAAAAATCAACAGTGAAAAATAGAACATTGAACAATACCAAATCTTACTTCATCTTCTTTCGAACTGTCACAAAAAAAACTCTATCCAATTGACAAATAATCTAGATTAATTGAGTAGTTCGTACACACACAGAAAAAAAAACAAAACAGTAAAGAATTGAGTAGTAGCGCATTGTTTGAAAAAAACAAAACAGAAATGGAATTCATTTATCAAAGCGTTGTGTTGTGTTTACTTTTATCTTGACATGATTCGTGTTTCATGTATAGAGTTTTAAACTATTTGTCAAGATAACAACACCATATAGATACGATGTCATTTCAATGGGATAGGATATCAAAAAATAAAGAAATAATTGATGAAATCGTTTTGTAGTGGAAATTGAATAAAAGTTTGAAATAAAAATAATGAAGAAATATTTTGCATATTTTATTTTGGTAATTTATTTACTAGTAACAAAGTGTTTCTGCTAATATACATTTATATATACTCGGGTTATTGAGGCATATTTCCTAGAAAAAAGTAGGTATGGATATAGTACACATTGTTGTTCGTTTTGTATGCTTATATGTAAAATGAAAACTTTCATTTGAATATAATAAGTTTTGTTTGATTTGATAAAAAGCAGTTGTTTTAGTAACTCAACATCGAACGATTTATTTGTAAAATTCATAGTGCTGTGAACACGTATTTATCCAGTATTCGTATAGTCTAAAAGATGAAACAATGAACTTAGTGTATTTTCAATTAGAGTTATGGAGATTAGTGTTTTTTTACACATTTGAAATCATCAATCAATCATTTTTAGATCACCATTAGAAACCTGGGATCACTGAAAGATGGCCGTTTCGTCCTGATATGGAACTCATCAGTGGCAGTGAGCGTCCACGACTCCTGCACCTCTCAGGATTTGAACCCGGGACCTTCGGTATAATATTATGAATCCTTAAGTTCTGTGGATTCTGCTTGCAAATAAGCAAGAAATAATTGTATCGCAATAAACTCAACTCTTATTATTTGTTCCACATTTTAACATGTCTACTAGCTCATATGCGTTTGCAGCACAGAAAGGAGTCTTAGTGTTCAGATTTTTGAGTACATTCAACAGGAGCTTAGACTGAAAGGATGCATTATACGGTTGTGAAGAATGTTGGGTTTTATCAATGTGATGAAGCGATTATTTCTAGAGCCTATTAGAAACACGGAAGCACTGGGAGGCTTTTTTGTCCTAGTATGAGACTCCTCATTGGCTCTCTTCCACGACTGCCACTTGCGGGATTTGAACTAAGTACCTTTGGCCTCGCGAACGAATGTATAACCGCTAAATCACTGAACCGGAACCCAACGGTGTTGATATCTAACTTTATTTGGGGCTGTAGATGAGCACTGATGAAGAGTCACATACTTATACGAAAAGGTCTTCCAGTGCCCCCATAAATCTTATGGTGGTCTAACAATGATCGGTTTATCATTTCAGTGAAATGATACAATATTTTCAAGTCGACATGATACTGTCTCACAGTATTTCAAGAAAATGAATAAAACAAGAGCATCAGTCTCATTACTTTTATCCGAAGCAACCAACTCGCAAATATTTGAATAAATTTTATGCGTCGAAAAATATGCAGTTGCCAAACTTGTTTTGTTATGACGACGTATACTGTAAATGCCAGTTAACTAAATTTATAATTTTTTCCATTAAAATCTTATTTTTTTCAGTTAGTCAGTGGTATTTTACTTTTCAATATTACATAATTCGATTACTAATATTTTTTCGCTTTCTGAATGTCCCGTTTCCATTTTTAATCTCCTAAAATACGCCACTTTTTTCAACTGTTTGAACGTGCATTTCCAGCGCTCCATAGTTATAGTTTCCTATTAATCTACATTTAAATATGAAAGAAAAGAAGACCCTAAACTCACCTAAAGTATATACATTGTATTGATCTTTNT